AAACCACTCTGATTGATTCTGTTTACGTCTTTACCATTTAATTATGCAGAAATTTAAAAATCACAGAATTCCTCTTTAAGGGATTGTAAAAGAAAGCATTACCAAAAACTGTTTAACCTAAAAAAATTGAACTGATGTGCAAAAAAAGAAATTACACCAGTGACATGGAAGCAGGAAACTAAGCACCTAAATGTACAATGTAATGATGTACTTCAATGAACTGCGAGCTGACAGCAAAGGAATGTATTTCTTGGAAAAGTTGTCTGAGTTCTCCTCAAACGAGTTGAGCTGAAAAAAAAAAAAATGGAATGAAGGACAACTTGTCCAGCCATTACCATCACTGCCTTTTGTTCTTGTTTAACAGGAAATCTGCAGATAATAGACGCCTTAATGCCTTAATGAGTCTTGCTATGGTACAGCCAAGTACCTGGGGGCATGTATTTCAGGATGTAAATACCTATATTTACGCTCAAGACACGTTTCAAATTTCCTTTGGAGCGATGCCATAAGAACCATGTTTAGTTAGAGAACCTTTCAATTTGATGATTCTTATGTACTCTTATATCCAAAACCAAGAAACTTTTAGAAACATATATACACCGATCAGGCATAACATTATGACCACCTCCTTGTTTGTGTGCTTATTGTCCATTTTATCAGATCCACTTACTATATAGGTGCACTTTGTAGTTCTACAATTACAGACTGTAGTCCATCTCTTTCTCTGCATACTTTGTTATCCCCCTTTTACCCTGTTCTTCAGTAGTCAGGACCCCCATGGACCCTCACAGAGCAGGTACTATTTGGGTGGTGGATCATTCTCAGCACTGCAGAAACACTGATGTGGTGGTGGTGGTGTGTTGGTGTGTGTTGCACTGGTACAAGTGGATCAGACACAGCAGCACTGCTGGAGTTTTTAAACACCTCAGTGTCACTGCTGGACTGAGAATAGTCCACCAACCAAAATTATCCAGCCGACAGCGTCCTGTGACCACTGATGAAGGACTAGAGGATGACCAACACAAACTGTGCAGCAGAATGTGCTGATAATGATCCACCACCCAAATAGCACCCGCTCTGTGAGGGTCGATAGGGTTTCCTGACCACTGAAGAACAGGTTAAAAGGGGGATAATTGTAGACCTAGTGCACTTATATAGTAAGTGGAGCTGATAAAATGGACAATGAGCATAGAAACAAGGAGGTGGTCATAATGTTATGCCTGATCAGTTCTTTTAACAAGAGTGAATGAGAAAAATAGATAAAGTGTCAGAGAGAGAGAGAGAGAAAGGGAGGGAGGTGTGGGTGTGTCTCAGTCTCAGGTGCTGAGGAAATGTATGAAAGTCTGAAATGTTGTAAGACGGTTTCATTCTAAGTGACGATGATGTTGACGCTGAGTTTGGCGCTCATAATCGGCTTCCTAGCCAAAGGTAGGTTCCTAATTTGGCTTGTTCATGTGTTTTTATGTGCTCCTGCTCATTTACCTACTGAATACAGATATGTGTCTTTATTTCAGACCAGTTGAGAACAGAACTCACTTAACCAGTTCAGGCATACAAGGAAAAAACAGCATGTTTACAATTAATGACTAATTAAAAAGCACTTAGACCAGTTTCAGACAAAAAAAAATACACAGTCATTGCATATTTCTACCAGAGGCAGAGTTGTTAAGTTGTTCAATGGCCCTAGGCTACACTTTAAATGCCTCCCCCACTAAACACATCCTATCTATCCACTACTTCTCCTGGTAATACATAAGAAGGAACAAACTTTCTACCTTTAGAATTTTTTCTTTCTTGTCTTTGTTGCAGAGAAGTCATTTAATAGGTTGGTGCAATCAAATTTGCAAATAATGTCACTGTCTTTCAACATCAGGGCCAGGGAATCTTTTTATGTACTTCTTATTGTTTCTTTACTATGTATTCAATAATTCATTAATGTATTAATTTAATTTGATTGCAAAATAATAATAATAATACTAATAATACTAATAATAATAATAATAATAATAATAATAATAATAATAGCACCAAGAAGCGTTCTTCTATTATTATGATGTCAAGCTTGTTACAAGAGGAATAACTCTTTTTGGCACTATTTAGAACCCTCTTCAAAAATCTACAGCACATTCTCCACCAATCTGAAGAACCCTGTCACAATGCAAAGAACACTTTAATCATGCAAAGGGTTCTTTAAATGTTAATGGTTCTTTGTAGAACCATTTTTTTTACTAAAGAATACACAATGCACAATTTTAACACAACAAATCTTTGCTAGTTGATAAGTGATATTTTCTTTTGTATTGGAAGTTTAGACATTTAGACAAACAATTAGCTGTTATCTACTTGCATGAAAACATGCATGAAATCCACAAATCTAGCCTTTGAATGATGTTAGAAACATTTTGTACTATATACTCTATAATAAATCCAGCTATGAACAACATACTAAGAAATTCCTCTGCAATATCCATAAAAATATGGTTAAAAATGAACGTCTACATTTTATGAATGCAGGTGTTCTAGTGATTAGAGAACTTATGTTTTTAGAAAATGGGTTTTAGAATGGGCCTCAGAACTGCATTGTCCAGTGAGATCTCAGAAAACATGGAACATTCGTGTGCATGTTGTCATTAGTACAAAGTATATTGACATATTTGGATACTCTGGTTAGGTGCTACAGAAAAGTAGTCTTTCAGCGGTTATGACCTGACTGTGATTGTGAGTGCTGATTGTGAGTGGAGCCTAAGCCTTCATTACATTAACATTTGGAAAATGCACATATTTCTGATGAGTTTTGATATTTTTTAATGACAGTTTAAGAAAAGATGTATTATACAGTCATGCAAAAGTTTGAATGACGTTTTGTAAATTTTCCAAGTGAAAATAAGTTATCGCTTCCTCTACAGAGAACGCACTTCTGTTATAACTGTTTAAAATAGCTGTTTATTTGCTGAATTTAACATACTGAAAAATAAAACAGAAAATGTGGCTTGTGCAAAAGTTATGGTGCATTTTACATTTTGTGTTTTATTATCTTCCAATATGTCAACTCAGCAAATAAGTAGAAATTGAGCACTGAAATGTGCAGAAAAATGTCCCAGCCCAACCCATCACATGTATTTATTAAATTCCATCAGCAGCAAATTGTCATTGTCCAAAGAAAAACAAGTATTTCCAAAATTTACAGCAGAAGGCAAAAACATTCTTTAGTTTCAGTGTAAGTTATTGTGAAGAGATTTTATTCCAAGCAGTTTTGGAGCATTTCTATTAGTCCATTCATCATAGAATTTCCACACAACATAAAGAGCAGTTGCCAAAAAAAGTGGAGAAACATGTTTTTCTTTGGACAGTGACAATATATGATTTAATTTAATGAACTGCAAATAATACTGGATTTCCATAAGGAAAGCTCTGAAAATGGTTAAACAAACTTTGCGGGTATTCTAATATTTGTGTTTTTTGAGTAAATAAATGCTTAGTACCCAATTAAATAGCTTTGTGAATATAATTTTCTGAGGCACCTACACTGTAAACTTAATTCATTGCCTCACAAAAATGAAGCACAGTTACTTAACAGGTCCAAGCTTAAATAACTTTATACTGGAGTCATAGTTACTTTCTATTGTTTAGATGTTATTGTTTTAGCATGACAATATGCTACGACACAAAATACTATTATGAAAAGAGAAGTGATGAAAAGGTAGAAAAAAATAATAACTAATTAACAGAAATCAACAAAATTGCTAAGAATGCTGGGCAGCTTTTTGGGCAAAAGACTCTTCAGTCTGTAGAACTTGTCCAAATTGATTGATCTTAACTAGCTATACTTCAGTAACTGAGGCTTTATACAAGAAATAGTACAGATAAGTAAAAAAAAAAAAAAGTGAAATTTTAGTTTTACAGCATAAACATTTACACAGTAATGTAAATATTTTTAAATGACGAGTTTTATTTCTAACATAAAAATAAATTTAAATATCCTCTACAGAGGGCAAACTCAAATATGCACAATTTCTATCTATATGCTGAGTTTAACATATTGGAAAAGAATAAAACATATATTAAATGTGCCATAATCTTTGTACCTGCCACATTTTATGTCATATTTCTTTTTCCAATATGTTTAGTTCAACAAATAAACAGTAATTATGCATTAAAATGTGCAGAAGAGTTTTCTCTGTATATTGTATATTTTATGTGTATAAGCTTAGTACACAAACATGAATAAATAAAATTCACTTTTAAATTTGTTCTTCGTAAAGAATGTGCTAACTTACTTTCACTAAAATAAACAAAACATGGAATTTGACCAGGGTGCTGTATATATGCACAGTCATGCAAAGGTTTGGCTGCACTTATTTTGTACTAGGTTTACATGCATAATTTATGACAAAATATTAAATGTGCTATAACTTTTGCAATAAAATGTGTAGTAGCGTGTTCTCTGTAGAGGATGTGTTCACTTATTTTCACCATTCAGCCAGCGTTGCCCGAACTTTTGCGATTGTGTGTCCGCTGTCCTATTATCAAAAGAGACACTGTATTTAGTTTAGGTAGCCATTCACTTTTCCCAAACAAAAGATCTGGTCTGATCCTGAGCTCTCATCACACCTCATTACAAAGAAAGAAAAAACAAAGGAAACAACAAAAGGCAGTGGCAAAATAACAATATATTAGACACACAACATAACCTCAGCTATTTATGAGGCTACAGGAATTCCCTTGGAATAAGTGTGATCCCTGAACAAGTTTTTTCTTGCAAGTTAGTCTGTAAACTTGAGTGTTAATGGGAAGAGTATTCACCGAAATACACAATGTCCTAAAACAGATAAAAGATGAAGAGATAAAAGATTCAATAAATATGCTACTCTTGAGTTTTGCTTCATTGACTTCTCATCTTTTCACTAATCTACTTGAACTTGGAGCAAAAAATCCACTGTAGTTAATCCACAGTAAATGTTACTGATGAGTGAGCATTGACATTGTTCTGTTTGTTTCAGGGTGCCACTCGCAGTTGAATGGTAAGTTATTTCTTATTTTTATTTAATAATCTAAAACAGTGTTTGAATAATCAATAATCAATTTTCAACTACACAGCCAATTTAGCTTTGAAATAATTGGTAGGAAGCTGTAAAGAAATTAAGAAATGTTAGATGTGTCCAGAATGAAGAACAGAGTTGTGAATGATTCTAAAATACCTGAGAAAGATGTAGAACAATGAGAAAGAAGTTATAATAAAATAAACATCCATAATGCCTCATGTTCTCATATTTGAAAAGTGATTATCAACTCGTGAGACAGACAACTTGACAAAAATACTGTAAATTGATGATTACAGTATGTAAATTTAGTATATAATACCTCAACGCCTTTGAAATATTGAATAAGACATATAAAAATACTTTTTAAAGGATTTTAATTTATATAGTATAACAACTTATTATACATTCTCACTGTCTTAACAAAATGTTGCATCTCCATTTTTGGTGTTTTTCTTTTTTTTTTCCTTTCTTTTTTTAAGGGCCAGCTTCCCATTACATTGTGTTAAAATTTCGTGAGAAATGGACCAACAGAAAAAAAGAAGTCTGACAAAATCTTGTTACATTAACTTACATTGAAAGTTTAGAATGTTTTTTCCTTCACTTGTACAGTTACATTTTGAAGAAACAAGGTGTTTTTAGACAGCAAAAATATAAAATAACAAATTATAAATATAATAAGTGATAAGCTTGTTACAGTGGGTGGAGTATGAAGCAAATTCATTTTTTCCCTTACTTTTTGTCAAATGCAAAACAAAAATTGACTAACATTGAACCTATTAGTCAATATCGAAACATTTTAAACTGTGTTTAGGCTGGCTTTAAACAATGTAAACTTTCATGCAACTTTAGTTCCTTGAAACTTAAATGAAACTAAATTGCACTCAAGTTGCATGATGTAAAGTGTCCTGCAACTTTGTCAAACAGATTTCATGAAACAGCCAATCAGAACACCAGTAACGCATCACAGGATCATGTCGAACAGCATTCTTTTAAATATCTGATTTCACCAGATCAAAAAATAAAACAGAATCTTGACATACTCGCAAAAGATTAAAAACATTTCAAATATATCATCAAGAACAGCTGGAAAAATGTTAACAATATTTCAGGTAAATAACTCATGGAAGACTATATGGGGAAGTCCCAGCATGCAACTAATTGCATTAAGGTTTCATCATGTCAAGCCAGCCTTAGTTTAAGAGAGAAAAAGATGGTGTAAGATGAAGACTTTTCCTTGACAATTAAAGTAAGAAATATGAGCGGTCCTGCTTTACTTTAGTCAGTCTTTCTTCGTTACACTGTGTGATGCAATCCACACCATCCTGTTCAGTTGCCCACCTAACTAGAATCTAATCAGAATGTTGCTCTTCCCTCTTTGTCAGTGTGTGGTGCAGCTCCTCTAAATACCAGGATAGTGGGAGGACAGGATGCTTCTCCAGGTTCTTGGCCTTGGCAAGTTAGTCTGCAGGATAATGGTTTTCATTTCTGCGGTGGATCCCTGATCAACTCTGACTGGGTTCTAACAGCGGCCCACTGCTTTGCAAGGTTTCACACTGAATAAAAATTCTGGAGTCACTTGTAATACTGTGACGAGAACATTTATCAGATGGTGATAAGAATGGCTTTCTCTCTTTTTATCTTTTTTCAGTTATGTTGCTTCACAAGTCACCGTGTATCTGGGTATGCAGTCACTGTCCTCAAGTAACCCAAATTCAGTGTCCAGATCTGTTCTGCAACTCATCGTACATGACAACTATGACCTAGAGACGCATGACAACGACATCGCCCTGCTGCAGCTGAGCTCTAGTGTCGCCTTCACTAATTATATTAAGCCTGTCTGCCTGGCTACAGCCGGAAGCACGTTCTTCAATGGCACTCTGACCTGGGTCACTGGCTGGGGAGACACCTCCAGTGGAGGTGAGAAATGAGGACAGATTTGTGAGGGAGCTAAGCTTTATATACTTTATCAAACTGAATCCGATTGAGGCTACATCCTATGTACCTCATATGGTGGATTCACAACATACACTGTCATAAATAGTGTAAGTGCCCAAAATAAATCCCTTATGGTAGTTTACTAAAAGAATACTTTAAAGTTAGGTTATTTGCTGGTCAGCTAATATGCAATCCTACACTGTTCTAAGGGCCAGATGTATGTACGAGCGCAAGTGCAGTGCAAAATTTGCTTTGATGCAACCTTAATAGGTGCCCCCAGTGTGCTTGAAATTAGTGTTTGATTTACTAAAGCTGCAGCTTATCACACAAACTGTACGTAGCCCTGTAGCTCCATAGCTCCATCTATCACTATGTCTGCTGCCATTGTTAAATAGTCTCTGATCTTTTTAATTGATGCAAAAACCATCCGCCGCAAGTTGTTCGAACTGTAGTAAATCGAGCAGAATATGCAATCAGTCACATGTAATATCTCCAACCACCTTTTTTGCAAGGCCCTCCAATGGTTTTCATGGCTGTCGCTCAAATGCATATTGTTGTATGCAAAAATTTGAGCGCTTGGCATGTTTTGTTGACACATCATCTACAGAGTATACACATTTTAATGCTGTTTAACATATTGAGTTTACTATAATATGCAGAAAAATGCCATGTTCAAGTGTCGCTTCATTAAGAAAATCAATAAAACACGTCATTTTATGAGGGTTTTTTTTGCATACAACTGTATGCATGAGAAAGGGAAGGGCGTTTTGCATTTTTGATGCTAATAAAATCTGCTTATGATTTTTACAGTACACATAGACTGGAACTTGGCCACACTTTGCTGATCCATCATTTACAGTTTGGTGGAAACCTAATTAATTTAGTGTGTATGGCCACAGACTAGAAACATAAAGAAACATAAAGGCCTTTCTGAAGACTTTCTGGTTCAGGAAGATTAGATTTATATTAGAATTGATCTCTCTAAGAGGGTGGATTTGTAGGAGCAGAGCTGGCATCCCTTTAACAAAGAGCATGATATAATTACTTTAATGAGATGTGATCATTACACCACAAATTTAATTAGGTATTTCACACACAATTTTACTCCAAGGTTTGTAGATTTTATAATATTTGCAATTACAGCACATTTTCACACCTCAATGAAATTTCATGACATTGTAAAATGACACAGTTGAAATGACGTTCAATGTGTGTTTCCTCAGTAAGTCTCGCCTCTCCAATGACCCTGCAGGAAGTACAAGTCCCAGTTGTTGGAAACAGGAAATGTAACTGCTTATATGGAGTTGGAACTATCACTGACAACATGATGTGTGCTGGATTGCTGGCAGGGGGCAAAGACTCCTGTCAGGTAATCTCTTCCTAATCTCTCCAATGCTGGCATCCTCTCTTATTCCATTTAAAGATGCTTATTGTATACACATAGATATCTATCTGGTTCTGCACAGGGAGACTCTGGAGGTCCACTGGTCAGCAAACAGAGTGGTGTGTGGGTCCAGGCAGGCATTGTGAGCTTTGGTGAAGGCTGTGCTCTGCCAAATTACCCTGGAGTGTATACTAGAGTGTCTCAGTACCAAGGCTGGATCAACCAGCAAATCACCAGCAACCAGCCAGGCTTTGTCACATTCACTTCTACAGGCACTGATGGAGACCTGAGTGTGTCCTGTGACGGCCTGCCTGCTGTTGCTACAACCACCACAACCACTACAACCACCACTGTCCCCACAACTACTGCTTCATGTAAGATTGCTTGCATTTATGTTACATAACTTAATACTAAAACTCATATGGACCATCTCTGTTGGTCCATTGATCATGAAAACTGAAAATCGCAAAAAATGGAAATCCTTTTTTTGGAGAGTGACAGTATACAAAATCATGATTTATAGAGTACTTTCTACAGGGAGGTGGCTGTCCCAAACCCTAACCCCTACATTTCAACTTGTGAAAATAGTACTTACATTTTTTTCTCATTTTCTTTAATCTTTTTGATTTATTTTTGATTTGTTTGACATCATAATGAGTTTAATTTTTTAATTAAAAAACCTTATTTAAAAAAGCAAAGCTGTCCCACATTTTCATGTCGCTACTGAAACACAAGAGCTGTGTTCTAAATATTCTACTACATATTACTCGTATACTGATTATGCCCAAAAGTAGAAAGCGATATGCAGTATTTGACCAACATGTATTTCCTCAGTACGCCAAACATACCTGGCTGACGTATTAATCTGGACACTTATTCCAGTACACAGCCAGAGCTGTTGATATACTGCATCCCAAAATGTAATGCTGCCATTTCAGGAGGACGCAATCACTGATATAACTACCTAGATATTTGCAATAGCCCTTGATTCAGACTTTCTATACATTGATAATAGCAAAAGGAAAGACATTTGTCCGGATACTACGGCACTCAGTGCAACGCTGAAGCCATCAGTTTTCTCTGGCGGTTTTGAGGTTGATTTGCTTGTTTTGTCTAATTAAAGTTAACAAGCTTACTGCATATATAACATGGCAAAACCAGTAACTTAATAATGTTGGTCTCAGCCGAACAATCCGCTCAGCATCCGCTATTCATTCTACTCATTCGAGCTTCCGAACCAAGTCACACTACTTATTATTTAGTCAGACTAGCTCATATTACCCACAGCTGGTGTAATGACAATGACCATGTTACCCCTAACGCTGGTGATAGACTGTTTAAGCTAGTGCACAATATTTAAACAAATCCCAAACTATATCTTTGTCTTTTGCTCTTTTATTTGTTGATATTCTTTGTTGCTATGCATACTTCCTTCACTCATTTGTTCTGCATGTCTTTCAATATCTCCTTCCATGTTTTATCGGTGTACATCCATCATCATCTGCTTATCCAGCCTCTTTATCAACTACAGTCATGTCTTCTAGCAGTGACTCTGGAACCCCAACTGTCACTACAACCATCCCTTCTACCACTCCAACCGTCACTACAACCATCCCTTCTACCACTCCAACCACAGCTGTCCCCATGACCACAAATACCACTACAGCAACTTCTACCACTACAACCACAGCTGTCCCCACGACCACAACTACCACTACAGCAACTTCTACCACTACAACCACAGCTGTCCCCACGACCACAACTACCACTACAGCAACTTCTACCACTCCAACCACAGCTGTCCCCATGACCACATATATCACTACAACAACTTCTACCACTACAACCACAGCTGTCCCCATGACCACATATACCACTACAACAACTCCTACCACTACAACCACCACTGTCACCACAACTACTGCTTCACGTAAGATTATCCATATTTTCTCTCTAGTGTGCCCGGAGAAGCCTTCTAGAACTTCATTGGCAGGCAAAGGGTAAAGTTCAAGACTCTTGAGGCCAGGCGTGATCTCTTAATGACACATCTGGAGACAAACTCTAAAAACCACCCCAAGTTCTTCTAGTCAATGCTCTTTTAACAGCCAGTGTACAATCAGTAACACAAGCAAACTCAGCGAGCTAGCAAAACACTATCATTAGCTAACTGTTCTTCCTGTGCAAAAAATATTGTTTATTTTTACCACAGGTAATGTGTTCTCTTCACACTCATCACACGGCTGTGTGTTTAATTGGAGTGGGGGATTTTTCAGCCATGCTAACTTTACATCCATGGGCTAACGACAGGCCTGTTGTCAGTTGGACAGTTTTAGGCACCACCTTAATGAGATGTTGGACTGGTTTAGAAACTTGACACTCCATTTGTTTCCACCTTAATACGTTTACATTCCCATAATTTCCCCTGGTTGTCACTAAAGATTCTTTACAAGATCACAAGGCCTTGTTTAGACAGACAGCTCAAATCAGATTTTTCAGCATATCCAGGCAAAAATTTCTGCAGACCAAATGGCAAAAAAGCCACACTAAATCTGACTTTTTCCTATCAGATTCAAGCCACATTTGTAGGTGGTTTTGAATCGGATTCAAATCTGATTTCCAGATATGTGACTCAGTTTGACGGGTCAGGTCTGATTTCATGTGTTTCATTCAGGGGTGGTTCATAATGTCAGAACGTGTGACATGAAAGTCAGTGGTGCATGTTCACATATTATAGCTTAAACATGGAGAACAGAAGCTTTTAAAAGTAGTTTAGGTAACATTTCCTACTTTGTATTAAAGCCTGTCTCAACCAATGTGGATATGTGAGCAAATGCAACTACAGTCTGACCATACACATCAGATTTGGTCAGTTGTATCCTGAGGTTTAAAGATTTGGTCAAAAAAGTCAGATACAGTAATCAAACCCGATTTGCTTTTCTGTGTGAACAAAGCCCAAGACTAGTCTCAATGCTGAGAATTTTTTGTTCATTTCCTCTCTTGCTCCAGCTGTGGTGTGTGGCAGTGCCAAGCTAAATGCTGTTACAGGAGGGGGCAACTCCTTGGCATCTGCAGGTGTGTGGCCATGGATGGCCAGCCTGCAACGTAGTGGTACTTATGCCTGTGGAGGAACACTGGTAGCTGAGCAGTTTGTCTTGAGCTCCGCTGATTGCTTCTCTAGGTAAAGCCACAGCAACATGATATATACAAATTGAGTCAGTTAGGTCAAAACCAAATCAACACACATTAGTGCTAGTTGTCAGACTTGATGTTCTGTATCTCACAGCTCCACCAATGCTTCTGACTGGACTGTAATTCTGGGCCGCCTCAAACAGAACGGCTCCAACGCCAACGAGGTTTCTGTCAACGTGATTAAAATCTCACTGAGCACTGGTACAGCGAACAACGTAGCAGTACTGCAATTGTCTCGCAAGCCAACACTTACGGACTATATTCAGCCCATATGTGTGGACCTGGGGAGCAACAGTTTCCCTATCAACACTCAGTGCTGGGCGTCTGGCTGGGGTTCAGGAGGAGGAGGTACGTTATTTGTGTGTGAAACACTATATGAAATATGTCTCTTTTCAAATCATTCCAATGGATGTCATCAATTTTCTCTCTCATGTTTGTTCTCTTTGTGCTATAGTTGAGCAAACTCTTCAGCAGTTCAACACTACTATACTGGACTGTGGGAGCACATCCTCATCTAACAGTAGCATCTGCACAGGAGTCATGCCTTTAGAACAGGTCTCTAATTAATCTATTTTTACAGTAGGCATAAAATGGTATAAAAAGTCCACCTGTTTTGGATGAGATCCTCAGTTGAACTATGCACTTTTTTCTTTAATAATGTTCAAAGAAAACCCAAATTGATTTTTTGTCTTTGCAAGCAAGGCAAAATATAAAAAAAGATGTTTTTTATTGTGTTTAAATCCTATTTATTTACAGTACATGATAGTTTTAAGAACTGAAGAAAGCTGCAGTGTTATTTTCAGAGCATTTCATCTCAGCACGCTCATCTTTGTGGAGAGGTGTGAATAGTTTAAACAGCAGGTGGTTCTCACCCCTCCTCTTTTACCCCTAACTTCTCACTAGCAGCTCAACACAGAGTCACAACAGTGTCCTAGTTCATGTGATAACAGAGTTAAGAAACTCTGTCTCTGAAATACTGACTCATAATCTTTCTCTCTCACTCTCAGACTAATATAGGAGGTCCTCTGATGTGTAAGGTTGACCAGTCATGGGTCCAGCCTGCAGTTTTGACTCTGGCTACCAAGCTGTCTCGTGCCTCAGATGTTCAGGTCTTCACTAAAACATCAGGCTTCTCAGAATTCCTGCTGACGGTAGTGGGCACCTTCCCTTCCAAAGCCAACACCACATCTACCACCGTCAGTCCAGTCAGCTCCAGTGCAACTGAGTCATCTACATTCTTCTCTGTCATGTCTCTCCTTCTGCTCCTGCTTTCTGCTCTCATTCAAATGTTCAGTTAAGAATGATCGTGTTAGCTCACTAAAGTACTCAGAAAAATAAACTATCAACCCTAACCCAAGGGACGAGTGCAGTACTGTGCAGAAGTCAGAAACCACCCGTAATTTATTTAATTTCTAGTCAAAATAGACTTTAAAAAACGTTTATCTTCAGTGTCAATTTTAAAAAGCAGAAAACTTATTTAACAATATTATATATATATATAATTTTTTTTTTTTTTCAGAGTTTATTGTGTCCTCCTTTTGCTTTTATTGCAGCTTCCATTCTTTTTGGAAGACCTACTTTCAGTTTTTCAAAGAAACCTGCAGGGATATTTTTCCACACCTCCGAAGTTCAGTCTTAGAAGTTAGTTGCCATTTTTGTCCCTCATGATCCAAGTAATCCCAAACACTTTCAGTGATGATATTGTCTGGACTGCATTGTTCTGAGAACATCAGCAGCTTCTGTGTTTGATTTGCACAACAGCTTCTTGACAGCTACACATCCTTTCAGACTCATTGTGTTGTCACAGTGGAAGGATGGACAGAAACACCTGTGGATTTTTTCAGATCTGAAGTAAGAGTGGAGCTTCATTTTCCCCTCCCTCTCAAAGATGAACGCTTTAAGTACTGTTTATCTGATGGTAACAAATTTGGTGGCCTGTCTGGTTTTGCATGTTTGTTAAGAGTCCCATTTTCTTTGTAGCCTTTAAATAACTCCTGTTTTTTCAATTATTTTCCTTTGTGTTCCCCCTTCCTTGTGCATGTGGATTAACTTATAACTAATCTCATCAGAAGTATCTCCTAAAAAATGTACAACTTGTACTAAATGTCCGGTTTTGACTGGAAAATAAATAAATTAAGGAGGCTCTAAATTGGCACTTGAAGCAATTTCACTAGTTTGAAGCACACCATTGTAGATGAGTGTGAAATCCAGTCTCTTCTACAGTCCATGCTCTCCAGTGTAACTCATATCATTAGCTAGTTATCATAATCCTTCATGAGCCCTTCATTAAAGATGTATACATGTTAGTTAAATGGTGGAAGTGACATTCATCAGGCTTTCTGCAGATGGTAATTAGGTTTAATGGTGGTAAAGTTTAAATGAGCTTATCAAAAGAAAAGTGAAGACCCATATTTTGTTCTTGAAGTCTGCTTTTAATGCCAAGCAGATTATTCAGGTTTCATTACTCACTCCACTATCTAATGTTTCATATGGTGAAACTAAACAAAAATTGCACTCTTAAAAATAAAGATGTCAAAACAGGTTGTTTGGAGCAAAGCATTTTTGGTTCCCTAAAGAATTTTCAAATTGATGGTTCTTTAAAGAACCACTTTTGTAAATAATATGTGAATTGTAAAAACCTTTACAAATTTAAAGAACCTCAAACCCACAAAAATGTTCTATACCACTTAAAGGGCTTTCTGGAACTGTGTGTCCAGAGGCATTTATTTATAAAATGGTGGTAATACATTTTAAAGTGATTTTGAAATTAAAACATTTTTACTTTGTTTTCAGGAATACAACACTGCATTTGAGTAAAGATAGGATGTGCTCTTGAAGACATGTTGCTGATATTCTAAGTGAAAATAAGTGAACACATCCTCCACGGAACACACACTTCTGCACATTGTAATGCACAATTACTATTTATTTGCTGAATTTAACATATTGATAAAAAAATAAAACATAAAATGTGGTTTTATGGCACATTTTATATTGTGTTTTATTTTTTTCCCCCAATATGTTAAACTGCTTTAAAGTTTGTAGAAAAGGGTCATTTTTAAGTGTGTTCTCTGTAGAGAAAAAAATCAATAATACATGAAATTTGACTGGGGGTGTTCATATGTTTGCATAGGAATGTATATTGAATGAAACTGTATACTTTTAACTACACTGACATTTATGCAGTGATATTTCACAGAGCACATATTGCTATGGAAAGTGGCCCAAATATAAAAGAACTGTTTTGAGAACAGTTTGCTGTATTGTTGTCATTTTCTGTATTCCACTACCAGAGGTAGGTAGAACAGTCTAAACAGTCTAAGTTAAACTACTTCAATGAAAAAATGAAAATGTAATGTAAAATAAACAATTATCTTTCTACAACATGACTTGAAATACAAAAAACTACTGAAGTGCGAAGTGATTCCTAGAACTGCAGTGGAACTATCACTGTAAGGACCACACACAGTTGGTCTCTTTTTGTTGTACTTTTAGTCTAAAATAAAACAATAAATCTTAATAGTCACAGGTGTGACCAATCGAAAAGCAGATGGCAAAATAAATGCAAAAAATAGCAGCTTCCTGATTAAAATGTAAGTGCTCATTATTTCAGTTGCTTTTCCATTCCGTTCTAAGTGTACTGAAGGTGGCAGTGGAGTTGTTCTCGTGCAAATACTAGGAGGCTTCTGACCTTGGCTGTACTTAGACAGCTAGAAGTATACAGGTTAGAGGGAAAAAAAACATGCAAAAAGAGTCAACTCCAGAATTATTGACACCCTTCATGAAAATGAACTAAAATCAGTATATTAAATAAAACACATAAGCAATTAGTGAAATTTGTGTTTAAACAAATGCTGCATATTTCTAGTTTTTACACTGTTTTGGAACAAACAAAGACAAAAATAACAGGACTGAAATGCTTTCTGTCAACGATTTCTCTAACAAGGTTGGAAGAACACTTCTTGAGGACTTCTTGGACTACTCCTCTATGCAGAACATTTCTACAACCTTTCATTTTTGTCTCATCTGACCCCATCACTCCATTCCATTTATACCTCAAATGACATTTAAAAAAGTTCAGGCACAACCTCTAGTGGCTCGCTTGTAGAAAATGCTTCTTCATGCTTTTTCAAACTTTTTTGTTATTGGCTTGATTGCACTTAGTAGTTAGTTAATTAAGTAAGTTACCATTAATAGTTAAAAAAGTCATAATCTGTGCAGCCCCTCAACCTTCTTCTTATTTGAGTTGAAAGCACTTTTGGTTTTACTCATGTTGATGGATGACAAGGGGATTTTACATATGTGTAACTTCAGGAAAACAGGAAATAGTCATAGACTTCAAATGAGTTCCTGGAGAAAAGGGACAGTAAAAAGCAAGATTTTTTTTCTTCAATGATGCAAGTTTCTTTTAAAGGTTTCATTTAAATATTCTGTAGGGGTGCAAATAATTTTGCCCCATATGTTTTTGTGTCACGCTTCCAGGTCCTCCTCCCTTGCCTAACATGCTCCAGAACTCCATTTCCCAGAATCCCAATCCTCATGACATCATCCCTTCCACCAATCACAGACATCTGCCTCGTTCTCAGTCACCTGAATACTGATTCAACACACCTGTACCCGTTTGCCTTAGACCTTAAAAGGTTCCTTGTTTGTTCTCCTATTTGTGAGGTATTGCCATGCTACTGGTTACTGAGCGTTTATCTTCCATTTCCATGATCTGTGTACTGAACTCATTGCCTGTTTCTTGATTGTTTCTCTTTTGGATTTGCCCTTATTGCTCTGGTTGCCTGTGTTTTTGCATTTTCTGGTTTTTGACTTTTGCCTGTTTTTGGATTTGCCCTTTCTGCTCTGTTTGCCTGTGTCTTTGTATTTTCTGGTTTTTGACTTTTGCCTGTTTTTGGATACTGTTTTTGGATTTGCCCTGACTTGGTTCTCTCATTAAACCAACTGTTGCTTTTAAGATCCGCGAGCGTCTTTCTGTGCTTGTTCAGCATTACAGAGAACTCCACAGCACCATCAACAATCAAGGCCAGTTGTTGGCACAACGTAATCAGCTGTTTGAGTCGATGTCCGGGACTGTGGGTAAGCTCACTCATCAGCAATTAGAACAACATAATCAGCTTCTGCAGATCTCCTCTGATATTAAATCTCTTTCCTCCCAGTTAAGTCAGTTAGTGCCTAAACCCTCCATCTCTTCGACTCCTGTAGTCAACTGCACAGCACCTGCACCAGCTCCCAGTTCTGATGATCATTTTCCAGTGAGCAAACCTGATAAGTATGATGGAAGTCCCAATTTATGTAAAGGCTTTTTGTTACAGTGCTCATTGTATTTTTCAAATTCCCCTGCTAGTTCTGACAACCGACATATTGCTTTTTGATTTCTAGACTCACAGGTAAAGCTTTAGACTGGGCCACTGCTGTTTGGCCTTCTCTAGAGCAGAGCACATATGACCAATTTTGCAGAGCTTTAGGGCTGTTTTTGATCACCCCAATGATGGATGCTCCCAAGGTGAATATCACAAATCCGCCAGGGTACACGTTCTGTAGTAGATTACTCCCTGGAATTCCAGACATTAGCAGCCGGAAGTGGTTGGAATGAACCCGCACTCGCAGTGACTTTTCGTAATGGCCTACACGCTGATTCTGTCTGAACTTGCTTGTAAGGATGACGGACTGTCTTTGAATGATCTCATTACCCTCACTATTCGCCTGGATCAGTTGAAGCACAGTTTCAAACCAAAACTACACTGCATCGCTATGCTCCAGACTACTCAGCGGACCTTTTCTTGACTCAAACCAGTGAAACCTGATGTCCCTGTCGCTGAGCCCACGCAGGTGGACAATTCCCATCTACCCAACGAGGAGTGCCACTCCCAGGAAAGCGTGTGGAAATAATGTGGTGAGTGGTCATCAACATACTATGATTAGTAAATCCTTTCTGATTCAGACCTAATCGACTCAGGAGCCCAAGGCAACTTCATCCAGGCTAATCTGATGTACCAGTTGGGGATTGAGAGAACCGCTGCCCACACCTTTGCGACTGTCAGCCATGGATGGAGGACCCATTTGATTAGGGAGAATGATTCATAAGACGTGTCCAGTAAAAATAAACATTAGTGCTCTTCATGCTGAGGATATTTTTTTTCTTGACACCACTAACTATGCTGTAATTTTAGGTCTCCCCTGGCTGAAGACACATGATCCTAAAATCTCCTGGTCCCATAAGGAGATCCTGTCATGGTCCCTGTATTGTTTTGAAAACCATGTCAGTGGAGAGTCCAGCTGTGCATGCACAGTTTAATATTCCCCCTGAATATGCTGATCTGGCTGAGATCTTTTGACAAAGTTAATGCTACTAAATTACCCCCTCATAGAGATTTTGACTGTTCCATTGAACTGCTAGACAACCAATTACCTCCCAAGTCTCGTGTTTATCCTCTCACTCAGGCAGAGGAGGTCGCCATGGAGGAGTACGTGCAGGAGGCCTTGGATCAAGGATTAATTCGTCCATCTACATCTCTGGCAGCGGCAGCGTTCTTCTTTGTGCAGAAGAAAGATGGAGGACTTCGTCCATGCATAGACTATAGGGGGTTGAACAACATCACCAAAGCTTATCCTTACCTCCTTCCTTTAGTGCCAGTGGCTCTGGAGCATTTGCGTGGGGCCAAGGTGTTCACTAAACTTGACTTGCGTAGTGCCTACAATTTGATTAGGATTAAAGAAGGTGACGAATGGAAGTCTACGTTTCTCACCACTAGGGGGCACTATGAGTACCTTGTTATGCCTTTCGGGCTCCGAAACGCTCCCTCAGTTTTCCAGTCATTAATTAATGATATGCTCCGAGATATGTTGGGGAGATTTGTAATCGCCTATATTGATGACATTTTGATTTGCTCACCTGACCTTCCTACCCATGTTAAACAGGTTCATCAGGTCCTGTCCCGTTTGTTGGATAACCAATTGTATGTGAAAGGGGAGAAATGCGAATTTCATTTGTCTGCGACCTCTTTTCTAGGCTGTCATAAGTGTTGGTGTTTTCATGGATGATAAAGTGTCTGCAATGGTTAACTGGCCTGTGCCTACTACTGTGAAGGAGCTGCAACGATTTCTTGGGTTTGCTAACTTTTACCGCAGGTTCATTCGTGACTACAGCACAGTTGCAGCTCTTCTCACTGCTTTGTTGAAGGGGGGGCTAAAAGATGTGGAATAACCAAGCTGAGATTGCTTTTCAGTGCCTTAAGGACACGTTCACCTCAGCTCCCCTGCTAAAGCACCCTGACCCATCTAAACTTTTCATTGTTGAAGTTGATGCTTCTAATGTGGGGGTTGGGGCTGTTCTGTCTCAGCACTATGGTGAACCTGCTAAACTGTATCCCGTTGCTTTCTTTCCCCACAAATTGTCACCAGTAGAACAGAATTACGGTATAGGAGACCGTGAATTGCTGGCTATGAAATTAGCCTTTGAAGAATGGCGGCACTGGCTGGAAGGTGCTCAACATCCATTTCTGGTTTTGACTGACCATAAAAACCTTGAATATCTGCGTTCTGTAAAACGACTAAACTCACGACAAGCTCATTGGTCTCTGTTCTTCTCGAGATTTCAGTTTACCATCACTTACCGTCCAGGTTCACGTAATACAAAAGCTGATGCATTATTTCAAGTCTTTGACAGTGAGAGTATAGAGTCTGGTGCACCAGAAACAGTCCTAGAACCCGAACTATTACTCGCGCCTATTCGTTGGAAAATAGATTCAGAAATCGACTAACATAATAATCGCAATACGCCGCCCTCCTCATGTCCCAGGGACAAGAAATTCGTACCCAGTGCATTTCGCAACTCTCTCATTACCTGGGCCCATTCTTCCCTTACCTCGGGCCACCCGGGAGAAACCCGCACTCACCAGTTGCTGTCGTCGAAATATTGGTGGGAGAGCATGGTCGCTGATATCCATGGGTTTGTAGCATCATGTTCGACCTGCTCCCAATGTAAAACCCCCCGCACGTTACCTGTTGGCAAACCAATGCCATTACCCATCCCTTCTCGCCCCTGGTCTCATATCGTCGTAGATTTTGTCACTGACTTACTGACTTGCCTATATCAGAAGGTTACACTGTTTTGACTGTGGTTGACCGATTTTCCAAAGGTGTATGCTTCATTCCCCTCTCTCACCTCCCAGATGCTCTAGAAACTGCTGAATGTCTGTTTAATCATGTATTTCGTCTGTTTGGCATCCCAGAGGATATCGTGTCTGATAGAGGTACTCAGTTCACATCAGAAGTTTGGAGAGCGTTCATGGAAAGATTAGGAATCAGTTAATCTGACATCTGGTTACCACCCCCAATCTAATGGTCAATGTGAGAGAGCAAACCAGGAACTAGGCAAATTTTTAAGACTTTGTCATAACAACCAACACGACTGGCACAGATACTTACCATGGGCAGAAATAGCTCAGAATTTTCTCACTAGCTCCACTACTAATCTCACTCCGTTCCAGTGTAAGTACGGTTATCAGCCCCCTCTTATGCCATGGACAGCCACTCCCTCCAAAGTTCCTGCCGTTGATTCCTGGATGTCTCGCAGTGAACGGGTATGGGAGGAGACTCATCAGCAGATCGAAGTGGTACTCCGGAGACAGAAACGCCAAGCTGATCGGGGACGTGGTGACACCCCTTCCTACTCCATAGGGGACTGAGTATGGCTGTCGACCAGAGATTTCTGAGGGAAGTAAAAAAAAACTTCTACCCAAGTACATTGGTCCATTCAAGATCCTAGATAAAATAAACGGTGTTACTTACAAGTTAGACTTACCTGTTCAGTACTGAGTATGTAACTCCTTCCATGTATCTTTGTTTAAGCCCGTAGTCTCTGGTCCGTTGGATGAAGTCACACCCGACGCCAGTTCCCCGCCTCCTGTGGTCATGGAGGGTGCACCCGTCTCCGTTGTCCGGCGGCTCCTGGACTCTCGGCGTAGAGGGGGCCTGCAGTACCTTGTGGACTGGGAGGGGTTCGGACTGGAAGAGAGGAGTTGGGTGCCGGCGGAGGATGTGTTGGATCCGGCCCTGGTGTTAGAGTTCCATCAGTGTCATCCATCGCACCCCGCTCTCGGACTCTTTGGGGGGGGTGCGGGTCCGGGTCCTCCTCCCCTGCCTAACACACTCCAGAACTCCATTTCCCAGAATCCCAATCCTCATGACATCATCCCTTCCACCAATCACAGACCTCTGCCTCGTTCTCAGTCACCTGAATACTAATTCAACACACCTTCTATTCCATGACCTGTGTACTGAACCCATTGCCTGTTTCTCGATTGTTTCTCTTTTGGATTTGCCCTTATTGCTCTGGTTGCCTGTGTTTTTTGCATTTTCTGGTTTTTGACTTTTGCCTGTTTTTGGATACTGTTTTTGGATTTGCCTTGACTTGGTTCTCTCATTAAAACAACTGTTTTTAAGATCCGCGAGCATCTTTCTGTGCTTGTTCAGCGTTACATTTTGCAAGAATACACTATTCGTAAAATAAAGCAACAACCTTTTCTATTAGACTGATTTTTATTAGACAAATAGATACATGGTAAGTAATTCCTCCAAACGTTTTCCAAAAAAAAAAAATTTGAAATCATTGTATTTTTTTATTTTATTTGATAGACTTAACAGTTTGATTATACGATATTTGATTATACGATATTTGATAAGTCAGTCTATGTGATCAAATCACTCCCTTTCCAGTTCTACTGCTTAAATATTACAGAATCACAAACGAAGTTCCCAGGTTTCTTAGTGAAACATTGTGGTGTAATAGCATCACAGCTTGCACATGTTCATGATTTATGACTAGCTGCTTCTCAGAGTAAACAGAATTTAAAAAAGAAAATAAAAACTCACTCTAAGCCCTTTAAGGCAAGAAGACACATTGGCAAGCAGGTCTTACTATCTTCTCTCTGTTAATTAGTTACATTGGCCTGACAAAGTCAGCTTACTGATCTTTATCTTATTGTAATTTTTATTCTACCCTTTTTTACAGGTCACACCACCTGTGATAACATAGCAATGGTCTACCAACACCTTAGCAAGCATCTGGTATACTGTAGCAATGGCCTAGCAAAACTTTAGCAGCCACTTTGGATAAAATAACAGCGGGTTAGTAATACATTAGCAACCACCTCCAATACCTCAGCAGTGGTTTAGCAGCACCCTAGCAACCACTTGGGATTCCATAACAACTACTCAGCAACACCTTAGCAACCACCTGGGATACTACAGCAATGGCCTATCAACACCCTAGGAGCCACTTGGGATAGCATTGACTAACCTGTCTGGCGATGCCCCAACCTGACGAAACTTTGGGTTGTGCTGAAGCCACACTAATTCATCTCTGTGTCACCGTGATGTTTCCTATCAGGCACTCTATAATGTGTTCTCTCATTCAGCTTATTTTACATTGCACAGCTGCTGGGGTAACAAACTGTTTTCACTGTAGACAGTGCAGGTTTTTTGACTTTTTGCGGTCAGGTGGTCTGGATCAAAGCTGTTAACAGATGATAATTTATCCAAATAACAGTTCCTGGCATCCCTGCTGAGTTTGTCTTGTTATAGACCACTGTAGTCGTGCATCATTCTATTTGCACATCAATTTGATGTCACTGAGCTACATGAAACTAGGGCAGGCTGTGGCTGTGCTCTGATGAGCTGTGCTGCCTTATCAAAATGTTCTACTGTCGCGCTTATTTACCCGTAAATAAAACCTCTGGGTGGAATATTTTGATGGGCTAAAATTCCTTGTCAAAAATACCACCCGTATTAAAACTACAAGGCTGAATTTAGCTTCTTTTTTCGCAGCTTCTTGTTTGAATGTTCCCACTCCACCTTAAATGGTACAGCAGCTGTGACTAGCTGTCACAAACATTAGCAAATGAGACAAAATGCTGACCTGTCGGTTCTGTGAAACAGCAAAAATAAGTTAATGTTACTCAGCTGTTAAGCGGAAATAAAGAAACCTCCTCATATCATGCCTTTCAACCCTCCATGAAGCTGAAGTCAGCTTCTTTTTCACCAGCTGCTTGTTCGTAATTCCCCGATCAACCTTAAATGGCGCAGCATTTCAGAACATGACTGCTGCACCACTTAAGGTGGAACGGAAAAAGTCGAATAAAAAGCTGGCGAGTGTACTGAGAAAATGTCCTCAGAAAAATGTTACCAGCATTAAAATAATTATGAGGATATTCCAATAGCCGAGATCAGTTTATCAGCGTGTGATAACCTGCTTAAGGAGGCTACCAGTCTAATGATGTGAATTCAATGCACAGTAGCTTTAGCTTACATATAGCAATATTCATATTTCAACTCTTTAACGACCTCGTGATTCAGAGGATCCAGTGGTATTCGAGAGAAGAATGTTCACAGGACAAAACGTATCGGGTTCTGAACGTGTTTGTTTAACACAGGGTGCAATAGAGGCGATTTTTCTGAAAACCCTATTCATTCTGCCCATAGAGAAATGAAGCTTAGACCCGGAGTTCCTAATATGGGCATAAGAGCATGGCGCCGACTACAAAATGACGACACGACTACAGTGGTCCATGGTTTCCTCTCACTTTTCTTCCTCTTCTCTGGTTTTAGTGCTTCCACTGCTACCAAAGAGTACAAAAGTATACTTTTATAAAGTATAAAAGTCAAAGGGGCAGGGCTACGACCTGTCAAAATTAATTAGCAAAAACTTTGAAATGCAAAAAGTGCCTCCTATTTCTCTCTCTGGCGTATAGCTGCTTTTCACGGCCTGCAAGTAGCCCACATTCGTGTGTGGTTCGAGGAAAACATTTTGCTTTGGGGTGTTCACTACTGGAATAGGCACATATGTGACCCTTCTGTCTGGGACCCTCACCAGCACTTCATTAAAGACAAGACCCTCCTGAACTGGGTTGAGTTCATCAGAAGAAAACAACCCCGGTACTGACAGCCTAAGTGGCCAAGGATGTAGACTGTGCTAACTTGTTTGGCTGGTAAGAGCACCCTCTTTCTTCCTGTTCTAACCATGCCCGCATTGATATTCAAGTCTGTGTTACACAGTTTTACCTCCGTTTGGCCAGGCTTGACTGTTATAGAGAAAGCTGTGCTTACAGTGTGTGTAATCTTTCCTCTCTTCCTTTCATGTTTCCTCTCAGCCCCCCTGATTACTTCTTCTATGACACTGTAACCTATAATTGGGTCTTGAGCAATGGTCGGGTCATTGGAGATTGGCACCTTTAGCTCTGAGCTTGATGTGGGTTCACCAGCTAACTTAAAACTCACTTCAATCCAGCCTTTAAACGGAATTTCTGTGTTGTTAGCAGTGAGACCAGTGAGTGTCACTCCTCTCATTAAATCTGCATTGGGCTGTTCAATGGTGTGCGGAAGATGTGGCTGTCGCCTGGTGTCACTCAATGCTGGCCTGCGCACCTGTGTCCCACAATGCTATAACTGGGTGGCTGGCAAAGACACAACTGACAAGATAGGCAAGCGCTATCAAATCAATGAGGTGAGAGTGCTGTGATGGCTGCAAATACTTGACTGAACCCAGACTAGTAGGGACACTACATCTAGAATCCTGGTTCAACTGGTTGTTTAGTGGCATTTTCACTTCAGCAGGTTGAAGAGCTGGCGACTGGGACTGTTATTTATGGACTACTCTGTGGAGTGATTAAAAAAAAATAGATAAAACACAATACAACAAAGACAGTAGACAAAAGCACAAACAGATACATAGACAGTGTATACAGATATGTGCATGAACAATAACCATAATCAATAAACTATAATAAATATATAGTCCTGAGCAATTTAAAGCTTGAAAAACTATAGATTAACAGTCATAACAGTCAACTTTTAGTCAGTGGATCTCAAACACACACTTGTTCCTTGCACTCTCCTTTTCTCTTTTTTGTGTTTTATCTTCCTTTGTGGTTGGGTTAGTTCATCAGATAAAAATAATCTTGTGACTGACAAACACAGGGTACAATAGTGGTGATTTAGGAAAACACTATTTTTCTATGGAGAAAGACAGCTTAGATGCTAATAGGATAAAATAACCCCAGCATTACAGAGTTAACCTGTAGTAACATACAGGCTACAGTTACATTTTATGGTTCCTACTTGACAAAGGAACAAATTAATGAAAAATCATTATTAATATTAAATGCCATTTAACTAAATCTTAACAATACTCTAAGCTGTTTTCCTTCTCGGTAGGTGAACTGATTGAGTGAGTTCTGTTCAAATAAAACCCATGACAGAATTCTGTTTCATTTTGTAAGCAAATGAGCAGAAGCACATGAAAAGCACACACACACACACACACACACACACACACACACACACACACACACACACACACATACATATATATATATATATATATATATAGATGGCTAATGGACTTACCTTTGGCTAGGAAGCCGGTTATTAGCACCACACTCAACATTGTCTCTCAGAATGAATCAGTTGTACAACATTCCAACCTTATATACACTCCAAACCCCACATGCTGTCCTCATTACTTGAGACCCCACACCCCCCACCCTCTTTCTTTCTCGTTAGAAGAGTTTCTGTGCTGATGTGAAACTTGCTAATCTTCCCACGATGTACAAGCATTATATAAAAGCACAAGCACATAAGATCAGTGTGGTCCATCAGCACCATTTTATCCTACCATGCAAACGGATCTACTGATGATGTGGTCTCTCTGGCGATGCACACTGCACTCACCCACCTGGACGGAACAAGCAACTATATCAGAATGCTGTTTGACTTCAGCTCTGCCTTTAATACCATCATCCCGTCCAGACCGGTCTCCAAAATAAACACTCTTGGAATAAAGTCCCACATTATGCAACTGGATTATGGACTTTCTCACCTGCAGACCACAGGGCGTAGGAGACATGAGGGGACGCAAGGGATATGACCCCGGCACAAATCACTGGGTGAAAAACACCCTTTTAAGATGGATAGCATTTTACATGTACTGATTACTTTGAACCGATTGACAAGGACAAGAATTTTGTAAATAAATAAATAAATAAATAAAAAATAAATCTATATTATTCATTTACCCATTGAGCCCATCAGACATTCCTCTGTGTGCATGAGCCGCCAACCCAATTGCTGTGAACATACAGAGAGTGCAGAGCTGCTGCTGGAGGAGAGTAAGTGCAGACAGAAACAGAAGGCTTTCTGTGTTCATACGTTTCATGTGAAAAAAACAACAACAAACTAATATTCACCGC